TCTACGCCTCGGAGTGGAACGCCAGTCTTAGGGGCCTGTTTGTTTTTCTTTTCGTCAGAAGGGGCGGGGCTGAAGTTAAGCTTTTCAGGGCACCGTGATCTTGCCGTGGGCCCCGAGCAGAGATTTACTTTCAGTACCTTCTGCTTTGTATTCTGGTTGTGTTTTCTGATATGTCCAGGTCTGTTTTGGGGGGAAAAACAAAAACTGTGATTTGGTTGATCTTGGCGTTTCTGTTTTAATTTGCTCTGACCCGGAATGGCCCGGGCTAGCCCGATCTCATCCGATCTCAGAAGCCAAGCAGGGTCTGTTCTGGTTAGCAGTTGAACAGAAGTCCTCCAAGGAAGTCCACGCTGCTACGCAGAGGCAGGCAACGGCAGGTTCGCCGTGACTGGGTTCTGGGTTGACAGCACACGATTTTTAGCCCTGACCTGGACGAACCAGGCTACCTTTATCTCATCAGAAGCGAAGCAGTGTTGTCCTCGTGGGCACTCCATGAAACTGCTGAGCGGTCGGGTTAGAACGGATAAAAGGAAGTACTTCTTCACCCAAAGAGTGATTAACACATGGAATTCACTGCCACAGGGTGGCGGCTACAAGCATGGACGGCTTCAAAAGGGAATTAGATAAGCATATGGAGCAGAGGTCCATCAGTGGCTATTAGCCACAAGGTATAGATAGGAACTCTCAGTCTGGGGCAAGTGATGCTCTGTCTTCTTGGTGCTTGGGGGGGGGGGTCAACAGTGGGAGGGCTCCTAATGTCCTGGCCCCACTGCTGGACCTCCTGAGGGCACCTGGTATTTCTGGCCACTGTGTGACACAGAGTGTTGGACTGGATGGGCCATTGGCCTAGTCCAACATTGGCTTCTCTGATGTTCTTATGTCCCTGCTTAGTACTTGGATAGGAGACCACCAAGGAAGTCCAGGGTGGCTGCGAAGGGTCAGGGGATGAGAAACCACCCCTGTTCGCCTCTCGCCTTGAAAACCCTCCAGGGTTGCCACGAATCTGCTGCAACTTAGAATTATAGGGTTGGAAGGGACCTCCAGGGTCATCTAGTCCAACCCCCTGCACGATGCAGGAAATTCACAAATACCTCCCCCTCCACACACCCTGGTGACCGCTGTTCCATGCCCAGAAGATGACAAAACACTTCTAGCTAAAACCCTGAAGTGATGTCACTGACACTCTAGGATTTCACCAGGATTCACCAGGAATCCTAGAGCAGGAGTGTCAAACATGCAGCCCGGGGGCCGTATCAGGCCCCCAGAGGTCTTCCATCAGGCCCGCAGTGGAACTGGCCATCTCCTGCTTCCACTTCTGCTGCTGCTGCTGCATCATAGCTTGCTTCGTCAGACTCTCTCAGTCACTCAACCATTTCATGTTTTAACCCGGGTCCTAGACTCAAAATTCTTGAGCATGAGATTTCCATGGTGAATGTCAATAAATCAAAAAGAGGTTTGCAGCTTACAGAGCTAATGTTTTAAGCATGTTTTTATTTTAAGTAAAAAAACCAAAAACCTTTCTGTTTGTGTCCTTTACAAAGTTTATATCTCCATTGCCCAGCATTCCATTTTATGACCCACGTGGCCCGGCCCGACAAGGTCAGATCCGGCCCTCATAACAAATGAGTTTGACAGCCCTGCCCTACAGGGTTGCCATGAATCTCTTGGAAGTTGATAGTCTTACACACACATGGTTTAAAACTATTTTTTCTACTCTCCCCCGCCCCCGTGGCTGTTCAGCCAAAAATCAGGGTAGAGTTTTTTTAAAAAACACAGTTGGTGATCTCGATGTTATCTCTTTTTTTTAACCGTAGCTTAAGGAGTGCATCCGTGCCCTGGACCAGGAACATGCTCACACTCCCTTCAGGCAAAGCAAGTTGACTCAGGTAAAAAAACGAAAGAAAAGACAGGGGAGAAAAACACAACCCTGCACGAGGAAGGTAACCAAAAAGGTTGGAACAAAGAAAAAGAAAGTGAAATATAGCTATGCACGTAGTGTGACTAAGATAGCTATCCTAGTTCCATGTATTTCAAAAATTTAAATTACGTTTGTTTCTGAACAGATCGAATTATTTCTCTCTTTTTTCTCTCTCTTTCCCCCCCTTCATTTCAGGTCCATTCTCTATATGATTCGTTTTATGTATCTTTGTTAAATTAATGCTTCGTTTGAATTATACCACTGAGGAAGGCCAGGTGCCGAAACGCATTTGGTATTGGTTCTTACAGAGACAATACGTACTTTTACACTTGTATGTCGTCGAAGGTTTTCACGGCCGGAGTTCGTTAGCTGTTGTAGATTTCCTGGGCTGTCTGGCTGTGGTCTTGGCATTGCAGGACCTGGCGTTTCGCCAGCAGCTGTGACTGGCATCCCCAAAGGTATAACACAGAAAGATGGAGTACTCTCCGTGTCAAGGTGAGACGAAAATGGTTGACTGGCATCCTCAGAGGTATAACACAGAAAGATGGAGTACTCTCCGTGTCAAGGTGAGAAGAAAATGGTACAGAGAGTACTCCATCTTTCTGTGTTCAACCTCTGAGGATGCCAGTCACAACTGCTGGTGGAACGTCAGGTCCTACAATGCCAAGACCAGGGCCACACAGCCCGGAAAATCTACAACAGCTAATTTTACACCTGTATTCAGGGGTCATTTCGTAGAAAAAGAAGTGCAGGAGCTCATTACCATAACTCATTTGCATATGCCACACCCCCTGACATCACCGGAAGCGTGTCAGAAGGCAACACCCACCGCTCAGGCTCCACTGGATTGTTTTGGATTCCTAACTATTGGGGGGGGGGAATGTGCAGATCTGTCCTCACAGAGGAGGGAGAGCTTGTACCTGAATAAACCTTGGTCTTAAAGGTGCCACCGGACTGTTTTGTATTGTTAGCTATGGGGGGGGAACGTGCAGATCTGCCCTCACAGAGGAGGGAGAGCTTGTAGCTGAAGGCGGGCGGGCTCTGCAACTTACCTGCCTGCTTCTTGCTCCTCGTGGCCCAACTGAGGGCTGCTGGGAGCAGGGGGCGGGGCTTGTTGCATGTGCCCACCCCCTGGGCTCCTTACTACCAGAGCTCCGCTCCTGTGCGCTCCCGCAGGAAATGACCCCTGCCTGTATTTATGTAAATGGACAGTTGTCTTTATACTGGGAGTAGGTATTTATATTCTGAACCACAGAATTGTTGTTTTTTAGCCCTTCTGAATATATTATTAAGCTATATACGACATTTTGTACATTTGCACGATGTGCATCGTTAAATTCTACTTTCTTTTTCTTTGTTCCAACCTCTTTGGTTGCCGGTGTCAGTTAGAGCACAGGCTGAGTTGGCCCGGTGGCCGCTCGGAAGAGGTGTTCCCCCGTTATTTATTGGGCCTACAGCAGGGAGGGCAGGAGGAGGAGAAGAAATGAGCGGATCTGTGTATGTACCCCCCTGGGAGTTGGAAGTTTTGTTTGGGTATTGAGAACTCCCCAAGACTGTTCCAGGCCCTTGCAGAATCGTAATATGTGATGTAGCCACGTTGGGGAGAGAGGGAACAAATTCAAAACTGTGAAGGCTGATCAGCCATGTCATGACCCCAGGGGGTCTCCGCCTTCCACCGCCGCCACCCTGGACTTCAGGTCCCCGTTGAGAAGGCCCAGGGTACCCGCTGAAGCACAGGCAAAATGCTTGTGCTTTTTGTGCTTTTCAGCCGAGAACACACAGGCGTGATTGACCCAGGCAGAGAAAATTAATTAAACAGGAAGGGTTTATTAAAAACAACACTGGGACAGGGAAAAAAAGGCAAGGCGAGGTGCTTAAAGAGGGCATAACAGGGTTGAAAAGGCAAAATAAACATAAACTAACGCAGCTACCTGTTTCTACTTCCAGGCCCCCAGCCTGCCTGGCACTCACGCTGAGCCCAGGGGAGATCTCCCTCTCTCCCAGACCAGCCTGTCCCCACGGTGAGACCAGGCCGCAGAGAGAGACCCGAAAGAACACCCTGTTTTCCCTCAGTTAACGGCTAAGACCGCCTCTCCTCACCCAGTTCAACAGTCTCATCACAGAATCTCCCTCTCTCACTGGCTATAGCCCAGTGGTGGCGAACCTATGGCACTTGTGCCAGAGGCGGCACTCAGAGCCCTCTCTGTGGGCACGCGTGCCATCGCCCCAGCCAGGCCCAGACCATCATTGAAGTGTCGAATTCTCTGCCAAATAATTTTAAGTAAATGAAAGCATTTGGGATTGCTTTCCTTCCTTTGTTTGGATCATCTTAAGTTAATGTGTGAGTTGTTTTTTCTAAAGTAAAACCTCAGTATTCAGGTTAAATTGCCGTGTTGGCACTTTGCGATAAATAAGTGGGTTTTGGGTCGCAGTTTGGGCACTCGGTCTCTAAAAGGTTCGCCATCACTGCTATAGCTTGTTGCTAAGCCTTATAGGGACTGTAGGCTGCCTGCTCTCACTGCCATGCAGGTCTCTCTTGGGACCAGGCCGCACTAGGCCCTGCTCCCAGTCCTGCACAGATCATGACAAGCCAGTTAAGTAAGTTTCCCAAGGAGACAGCAGGTGTTCCTCTTGGGGGGAGCTGTGGCATCTCGTATCCTTCCAAGGTCAAACGTTGGACTAAAAGACAGTACAAGAGTCGCTCTGGGTGGCTGCACGCAATTTAACTTTGGGAGCAGTTTGCCTTCCTTGTCTTATTTTGCCAAAATACCGGGTACTAAAGATCATAAATCACGTCTCCCTCCTTCAAGGTCCTGAAAGATTCTTTCATCGGCAATTCCAAGACGTGCATGATCGCCAACGTCTCTCCCAGTCACATCGCCACAGAGCACACCCTGAACACCTTGCGCTATGCTGACAGGTAAGCGGCAGTGGCCTGCCCGGAGGACATTCTGAAGCCAGTGGGGGTCAGAGGACGGTTGTTGTGGGAGACAGATGCATTCTTGGTGCTTGGGGGGGGCAAGAGTGGTGGGCTTCTAGTGTCCTGGCCCCACTGGTGGACCTCCTGATGGCACCTGGTATTT